AGGAATTATCACTGATATTGCTGTATTATTGGCATATATTTGAAGGTGATGCAACATTGTGATATGAACGGTACGATAACAGTTCTTGAGCTGTTGAGCTCATGCTTGAAGAATTTAAGACAAACATGGACAGCCAATATTATTAACAAACGTTTTTACTTATTCCATAATACTAGCAGAGTACCCGTCCTTCGTACGGGGTTAGCATTTGAGTTTAAAATGCTTATTGCAGTTATACTCAAGCTTTGCGTTTGCAATGGGGGAGGACAAAGTTGATAAAATTTGCTTCCTTAAATTGACGGTATACTATAATACATCTTATAGGCTACCTAATGTTCTAATACTTCACCTTAACAATTAATAAAGAAAAATAAATTATTACGAATTCACAAATTATTCATGGCATTAAAAACTTAAACATAACTGTAAACAATCCTACTTTTGACAGTTCTCATTGTGTATCACAGTTTTTTTGTTGCTGCTTAGTTCAAATTAGCTGTTTACATAAATGCAAAAAAAATTATAGTGCAGCACCCTGTTGGTAAATGTTATAACTTGTTAATGCTTTTGTATTCATAGAACCAACTTTTTTAGTTGAAACAGCTGACTAAATTCTTTAATTCCCTTTTAATATGAATACTCATAAGGTTAACATGGGGAACTACAGAGCCACTGGGGCGGAGCCCGAAAGGATTTTTGAGATAATAATATGCCTATATGTTAATCGGGAATGTGAGCTATCATCATGCCAAATTTCAGCCCAATCAGTCCAGTAGTTTATGCGTGATTGAACTTCAAACAAACAAACAAACAAACAAACACACAAACTTTCACATTAAATATGAAAGTTTGTGTGTTTGTTTGTTTGTTTATAAATTTTATTGTTTATTGTTATTGTTATTGTTTATTGTGTTGTTTATTGTTATTGTTTATTGTTTATAAATTTTATAATATTAGTAAGATAAGATAAGCTAGGTAAATAAAATAAAAACTCAAATTAGACTGACTTTACCTTAAATCGTTATCAAATTGTTATCTATATCGCTATGATAGCTGGAGATTCGTTTCGAAACCATCATGAGCTCGTAAAGATATGTCCACTAAACAAGTTTAATAATGTACTAGCCAGTTTAAAATTCATGACCAATTGAGCGGAGCGAGCGAACCTCTCATATTGCGTTGTTTTCGCGAATTTAGTGACCATATACTAATTTAGCAGAAACCGATCTTAACACTGACATTTTAGTGAACCCTGCAAAGTTTTATTGCCTTAATTAACTGGTCAACTATTCTTTAGACACAATTCCTTGTTGAGAAGATCTGATGGACAGAAATTCAAGTAGGCATATTTACAGTTGCGAAAACTGTTTGCGTGCATGAACAGATCTGTACAGAATATCTGTTCGTGTATGGACAAATCTGTACACAGCACCTGTCCATTTTCAAGACTGTACAGATTTTACTGACAAATTTTTGCTTGAAATAAAATCCAGACGAATTAAATAATTTCCTGTATCAATTGCTTGCTGTGTTTAAGGCTACATGCAAGCTAAGAATCAAAATTTTATATTGAAAGCTATGAATTTTACTATGAGTATTTTAAGAAACAATAAGAAAAAAACAATATTAAACTAGAAGCTTGGCTTTACTTGTACATTATCAAACGACACCAACGAACGTTTTTATAATGTAAATATATTTTGTGAATGGCAAATCTTCGAGACAAAGGCAAGGTTTGCAAGTTCCCCTAAAGAATATTTAACTTATGGAAAATGCTTCTTGAGGCGTTAGAAAGACATCATTGACAACATACGTATTTAGGCCTACACTAAATTCAAGTATTGTCAATCTTGTGCAAAGATCACAATGACCTCCAGCGGTTTTCCATCAATCCAAGACACTTTAAGCTTTTCAACAGCTCATCAGGATGTTTTGATGAAAAGTAAAATTAGTGTGAAACCCTTTACGAATTGGAAACCACAAAAGTCGCAATGAAATTCTGCCCCTTGAATGACGCTCACTGGTAATTGGAAGTTGTTGGTTGTTGCTGTTTAGCTCGTAACAACCTCTACTTGGATACAAGTCTGGCGTCATGCTTATTTATTAGACCACGAATTTGCATTCTGTGGATTTCTTCTGTTGGACGTTCTAGACATTCGGTATTATTACATTGGGGGAGAGAGAAAACTACTGTATATCCTTTGCTTGAAGTGCGTGGTTGACGGTTGTAAGTTTTAGTTGATTCAAGTCAAAATTCTAAGTGTCGATATTTTCCATCACTGATTAATACAACACAAAATTAACCACCAACACAACCTCATCAAATGATGATAATTTTTTTAATTTCTCTTTTTCATTTTTGTTTCGCTCTATTCGTTTAGTAACTCTAAATATTAATTATTTCCAGTTATTGTGTTTCCCAGTGTCACAGCCCGTTTGAGCACTAATGCTGCCAGTTTCCAGATCCTGAAACAACTCATCAACTAAAAATCTTGTAGTACTTCAAAAAACTTGGGTAAAACTTGTAGGTACTAATTATAAAGAGGCAAATGCAAAAGTTCAATATTAATATCGTTTTGAATGGTAGTACCTGCTTAGTACTATCTTTGACTATTAATAAAACTTTGGCACCCAATATCCAACAATCAATGGTACTATAAAGTAAATATCAATACATACTGATGTTGTTATGAATCTAGCCTCACATCTAAATCAGTCATTTTGTTGCGGAAAAACTGACGTAAACTACTATTTTGTTAACACTGTTGGTTCCTCAGTTATTTACCAGAAGTCCATAGCTTCGTGGTTCTTCCACCATGGTTCGATAATTATATATATAAACTTACTCATATATTGCTCAGTTTATCTTTGTAACATTTTAGTGTGTTATCTTTGCACAGTTTTTACATAAGGTTGCTCACATTGACGTTAGTAACTAACTTTAGGGGGACACAGCAAGGAATATCCTGGCAAATTACACTTTTCAAATTTTAAAAAGATGCATTAAGTAAAATGCAAAGCAACTGTTATCCATACCATTAACATTTATCAAATCAAAATGACAACAAAGTGTGTAGTGCATCTTTCGTCATGCAGCAAAACAGCCGTTTTACATGCATTGAAAGTCTTAAATGATCTCTTTTACTTCCGAGGGAGTGTAAAAGCCTTTTTGGTCCCTAGGGAGTAAATATCAGCTGTTGTAAACTCAGTTGCTAACTTAGATTGTAAGCAATAGAATGTATTGAAGTCATGTATAGATTGATTTAATCGGTTGTAGCTTACTGTAGCATTCTTTTTTAATAGTTCGACTTATCGATGGTATCACTTACTAAACAGCTTGTCTGATGCAATCGATTAAACAATTAATGCATACTTTTGATGCATGTGGTTGTTTACAATAAAAATTTACAACTGAGTTGATAATTACTACGCTACTGTCATGACAGAAAGGTCATATTCCTTTTAAACTAGATCACAACATCCTTTATAAGATTCGTTGATTGAAAATGCATGTAAACGTCAATATTTACGTAACAGCTTTGACTATTAATACAATAGTAAATGGTAACAGCCAATTTACAGTATTTTTGTTCTTTGTAAATGTCACTTTGCTATATTATTTACATTATTTGTTGCCAAAGAAGCCGCACGACCATATAAACTATGAGGCCCCTTACAGTTCAAGAATAAAAACCAACTTCACTTCAAGTATATTCCACTACACCTAACATTCCGTAGAGAGGTTAAATTGACAACTTTAGGTAATTGATAAGGCTGAGACAACTAACTGACATCCCCCATCTCAAGGAATTTCAGCATTCACAGTAACCCTACAACCAATTTCTCAAAACTATGCTAGAGAGTCATTGGCACAGAAGTAGGATAAGAACTGACGCGACGTGACGAAGGAAAAATCAAACTTACACTGTAACGGATATAACTCCCTTTGAAGTTAGAACGTGTCTACTTAACAGATATTTTTTCTTAAATAAAATTATACATTAATCTGCATTACACTGATGAAATCGTGGAAGCGTTTGACTACAAAAGATCCGCCAATACGATGTTAATACTGTTTCAAGATTCTTCCAAAAGAAGAGATACCAGTTAACATACTAATAATAATTTCGATGACGTACGGTATGAGAAATATTTTATTCATTGAATGATCAACCATATTTGGTAACTAAAGCAATTAATTAATATCATTATTGTTTTTACACTTATTACTCTTTAAACAATGCTAAATGCTCAAAATATGTATAATTTAACTCAATTTATCGCAGTTATATGAAATAGCGTAAACCTTGAAAGTAACCGTTGATGTAGACGGGTTTCACCCAGTTATATATAAAATGTGTGAATTTAAACAGTAAATAGTTTTAGGAACTAAGGTTTTCATAGTCACCCCACTTTAACACTTCAAACTTGGTCTCCAGGGTCCGACTGTGTGAAAAACCAAAACTTATAACTGGATTCTGACATTTCGATGGCACTACTACAGACCGAGTAGTCCTGTAAAACTCAATAGCATCATTGGAGTGCTCCAACCATGGCAATGAAGCCAAAACGTCAGCGTTTAGTTATAAGTTTAGTTCTGTCACAAGGTCCAACTTTGAAGACCACATGTTTATAATGTTATTAAATCGTTTATCTACTAAATAATAACTTTTATTCCTCAAAATAGCTACAGATATTTTTAGTAAATCTCTTTGACATTCTATGCCAAAGTCAGGGCTTTCAATTAAACTACTCGATTTCAAATAACTTTTGAAGTAATGAAACGGGCCGATGTCTGTGTGTGTGCTAGCTGGGTTGCCAAGATGAAAAGTTTACCTATTTTACCAACATTTGGAGAGTGAATGGAATTCAACTACTTTGATTACTTATATTAAGTTGTTATGATACTTTACACAGCAATCATATGACTTTCAATGCTAACCTCAATGCGGTTTTCAACTCGTAATTAGCAATAACAAGATCCATTAAGATAGAGAAATGTTCGGATACTCACTGAGTTTAGAAGAACTTTCGCAGTTGTTTAAAAGGTTTAGAAGATGAGCAACAGATCTACAGGGCTAGTATGTATATTCTATTAGTAAATAATACACGGCATATAACATTAAGTTCCAGTATTGGGGATATACTGTATATGTATATATATACCATTTTAAAATCAAAGCTCATATTGTTGAAGTCTTTAAATGATTTAATTGAAAATAGATATGAATCAAACAATAGTACCGTACCAATAGGTATGGTTACTCCTCAGTATTATTTAAGAGTAAAAAATATAATTACATTTTTTATTTGAAAAATTACATTTAGTTATCATGGAAAATAATATAAAACCATTATCTCATCTTGTTTCAAAGAAAAAAAACTGTTTGAAATGAGTTATGGTATATTTTGACAATAAGTTTTTTTTCCTCTTCTTAAGGTAGATTTTATACTAGCTATGTGTACTGAAATAATTGCCTATAACACCAAACAAAATAGGTTGTGCATGTGCAGTTGCTACATTTGGTTATGGAAAATCGGGTCGGCCCCTCCTCCCCGCAGAATACACAAGATACAAGAACTTTATTGCTATTGGTACAAAGTATCTCCTAGCTCGTCAATTAATCCTAAACCTAAACATAAACATAATTTAACTTATTTACCTTATAACATATTCTAAACATTCTATAATTAGTAAATTAAATTCATCTTTAGTCACTAGCCAAAATTCATCTATTGTGAACAAACAGAGCTTAGTTAAAACTTCCTTCAACTTCTTTTTAAATAAATTAAGATCATGATTTTTAAATTGATTTGGTAGATATTTCCAAAGTCTTGGAACAAAAAAAAAAAGACTTGCCAATGTTTGTCCCCTTATGTCATGCCTACTGATATGGACAATAGACATTACTTTTACCTCTAGTGTCATATGAGTAAAATTGTCCATTTGTTGTTTTAAAGATGTTAGCTTTAAAATATATTAAAACTCGGTAAATGATTATGCAAGGAACGGTACGAATCTCAAGATTTTTTTAAAGTTTCCTCACAAGATTCCCCAACGCTCAGTCCCGCCATACACCTCAATGTTTTCTGTTTGAAGGACTAGAAGTTTATCTATGTTTGTTTTGGTAGTGTATTCCCATATTTCATACAGTACGTTAAATTGGAATTAAAACATGAGTAGTAGATTGTTTTCAAAGTTTCAATAAAACATATTTCACCAAATTTTCTTGGTAAAAAAACTGGCCTTGATAATTTTGTACTAAGTTTTCAATTTAAGACACTAAGCTGTTTGCCCGTTCTACGTAAGGGAATCTTGTAGTATGTTGAAACCTTATATTCAGAACAGGAGTTGGTTTGCATATTTAGTGTGCATTTTTCCAGATTTGCTGGCAAAATTATTACTGTATAGGAATACTGTATTTATCGGTCCCGCACTACGAGATAGGAGCGATACGGGTTCTCGTAACGCAGTGAACGTGTTAAACCTAAAAATAAATTTTCAAACATTCACATTAGAAACAGAGTAAATTAGTTAACATTTTTATATGATTTAAACACATTTTTTGGTTCTACAATTTAAGTTAGAAATAAAAAATGCGGTATTTAATATATAGTTTTTTGAGGAAGATGTTACCATATTACGTACATTAATAATCAGTAAGATTGTGTTATGTTGCAAAAATGATCTCGATTGTCTGTTTGTAGCTGGTAAAATTTGAAATGTCATGCAGATAAACGTTATTTTAAGAAAACCTTTAACAAACTCATCATGCAATTAGTTGATTAGGTACATTTTGTAAAGTATCCGTACAACATAATGTTAAAACATGATATTGTTCCAAACCAGTTGTTTTTAGTGAGAATAATGTAGCTTTTCTTCCAGAAAAGTTCTGACATCTCTGTAAGGTTATGTCCACCAGACCGATTGCAACAGAAACCGGAAGTGTCGTCACTTCAGTTCCAGTTTGGAAAGTTCTTCACAGACCACATGCTGAAGATCGAGTACCACAAGAGTGCTGGCGGTTGGCAGCAACCTTGCATCACACCTCTCGAGGACCTCTCACTACATCCTGCAGCTAAAGTACTGCATTACGCTGTCGAGGTACATATTGAATAGACAAGGGAAGAATAAACCTCCCTGGTATCTAAATAGGTTAGTTTTGTTCAAGGAAAGACTCTAGGCCAGGATTTTTTATTGTAGAAAAATGAGGATAGCAGCTAGCTTACCGTGAAAGTGTAGGTAGGCCAAATAACATATATAAAATACACTGTGCACACAATACTGTGTCAAGTGTAGAGAAAGAGTAATTGAAAACATGCAATCCACACGTACTTCCTGCTGCCAATCTGCCAACCAACTCCCCGTTTTGTCTGATCTCAGTCTCTCACTGTCTGCCCTGTCCTGGGGGAAGAACGGACCTTTGGTCTAACTCAGGGCAGGTTAAACAGAATTTGTCATTTGTCATATATGTCATATGTCACACACACTCTCTCTCTCGCTCTCTCTCTCTGACTCATTCAAAGTCATAAATTACAGTTTCATTGTAATCACTTGTTTACTCAATGGGCGCTGATAATATACTAAAATAGTTACACAATGTTATTTTTGAAATACTTTTTTAATTCTGCTACAAAATGAGAATTATGAAAAACATATGCTAGCACCACCCTTATCCACTGGGTGACAAAATCTCAGTTAACCAGTTAACATGTTATTTTATGCCCTGTCTTCATTTATAACTTAAAATCTTAAAGCCTTATTTGAATCAAACTAACTACTTGCTACTAATTTTGCTACTAATTTTGCTTGTGAGCAATAGAATGTGTGTTTTCATCAGCTGTTCAGTTGTCATAATGCAGTCAGTGGACTTGAGAGGAGTGCTCTTTTAGCAAGAGATTTATTTTAGCGAATTTCCCATATAGGGAATAAGCTTCGTTTTGAGGTCCCTAGAGGCCAAAAACACCATCCGTTCAAATTCATATACATATAAATATATATATATATATATTTATTTATATATTTATATATATATATATGTGTCCGTCAGCACGATAACTCAAGCAAAAATGATCCGATTTTGATGAAATTTGGTACAAACGTGTAAACCTACGTTTATTCGAACGAGTTCGCGATCCAGCATGATCGGACCATGGGAACGGGTGTTTACGGGGGGTTTTATGGGGTAAAAATAGGTTTTTCCCATTTTTGACCCAAAAAACTTAAAATTTTGCAATTTATTTCCAAACCATTTTGTAGAGCTTAAAAAAACAAATAATTTAGTATATTGAAGCGTTATTATGTGCCTAACGGTTACGGAGAAAATTCCAAAAAATTGTTAATTTAAAATTCCCATTTATTCTTATGGAGAATAAGTAAACTGTTGTAGTTTGCTTGTTTATGAACATATTTTGATCAAATTTGGAAAATGTTTTTATTTCTTACTAACTATTAACATTTTACAAAAAAAAAAAAAACAATTTTACCCTCCCTGATGCAGCAAACCTAAGTACTTGTTAAACTAATTCTATTTAAATCGGGAATAAATGTTATATTTTTAAGTAGACATTTCAGTGTAAATCCAATCAGTCAAATGGAAATTCGCTTAGTCTGCAGGTTTGCTGCGGCGGGGGTATTTTACCCATTCGATGATTGCTGTGGAGCTTGAATGAATGCAACTTGAACACATGAAAATGTCCCTGGATTTCAATCAATTGTATACTGAGTAATTTTTTTCAACTAACGCAGGAAGACCTCATAAAATGTGTTGCACAAACTAGACAGAGAATGTTAAACTAGTTGGATCAGTAGAACTTAGTTCCAACTGCCAATCGTCATCATAAAATTGTCCTCATGTGTCTTCTTCTTTGCAGCAACTGAACAATAATTAAATAAAACTTCCAATTTTCAATATAAACAACACAAGCTGTAAAGTCTCTTCAAACACATAATAAATAAAAATAAATAAATAAATAAAAAATACTACGACTAAAGTATAGATCCTGTCTATGCTGTATGGATACCAGCTTTGAATGATTTTAGTAGTTATGTTACAAAAATATCATTTTTCTTTAATGAGTTCACCCTACATACGTAACGTGTTCCCAGTTATTTGAAGGCTTTAAGGCATATCGAGGAGTAGATGGCCAGATAAGAATATTCCGCCCAGAGCTGAACATGAAGAGGATGAACCTGACGGCTCTGCGGGCCGGACTGCCACAGTTCGATGGTGAAGAGCTGATCCGATGCATCTGTCGACTCATCAACATAGACCAGGAGTGGGTCCCTTACTCTGAAGCTGCTAGTATTTACATTCGACCAGCACTCATTGGAACTGAGGTATGTGTCTCGCTGAAATTAGCCAAAAAGGGGTCGATGGTGGAATATTGTTATTAAGGAGGGACAATCACAAAGGACATTTTGGGATGGATGATTTTTTTACATTAGAATCTGTTTTATTATAAAACATAATTTATTAAAGAAATGTTTTCTTGTTATTTTCAACACTAGCGTTTTTCAAGTTTCAATAAGTTAATAGAAATATTCCTATATCAATATGACAAAAAGAACATAATTATGGTACATAATATGTCTTACAAATCAATTTATTTTACTATTTGCACACCTTGTCTACAATTGTTTTTTTTAATTCTAGGAAAATACATGATGCAAAATTAATGTGATGTCAGCGATACAAACATATTAATGATAATATCTGGTGAAGGTTGATAATAGACCGGGCCAGAGGTCATGAGGTGTCAGTTTAAAGTGATATAGAAAGGTTATGAACACGTATTATCTTGCAGTTTTTCAGGATGATTGTAGTGACCTTCGTATATATATTTACGTCACGGATATTGTCTTCTACTTACATCTATTTTGCAAAATAATTTTGTAACATAAAATATGTATTGTGGGAAATCAAAAATGGATCAGTATTCTAGGCATTAATTTGAGCCATATTCTGTATACTTATTACTAAAATGCCGGCACTTGATATTTTACAAGAGCTGTCTTTAAGGTTTTAAAAAATCTGTAAATATTTAAGTGTTTCTATTCCACTTATACATTTTTGAAATATACCTGTGACACGGATTGCACCGTTTATTTTTTATATATTGCAGATACAGAGGATTTGGTAGATAGCAAACTGTGTTTTTGATAAACTCCAAGAGTATAAACCAAAGGTGTAAAGTCCAGCAATGGTAGTGGGGTTTATGCAAACTTACAAATACACAACGCCTTCTTTTTCTTTGAGGTAGCTACAGTATTGACTTTTGGAACTTAACACATTTAAAACATTCCATAAGATATATTTCAAGACAGTTTATGGTAGGCTATGTGTTTTTTTTGGTTTTTTTCTTTTTTCTCTTTTTTCTTCCTAACTTAATTTATAAAAAAAATGTGAAGAAAAACCCCTGCTCCAATCCAATAACAAGAAAATATGTATCAGTAATTTTCTTATGAGATAAATTACTTTTAATTTTTGATATTCAACCAATTGTTTTTTTCTATTGAACACACATCCACGTATGACGTTACATTTTAGGGTTTTAAAACCATTAAACGCAGATGACCGTACCCGTGGGGTTATCGGAATATCTAAAAAAAAAAAAAAAAAAACAATCCAACTTTTGACAACAGTCGTTTGTGTTTTAGTGTTTCATAATATTCATAATCTAATCAGCTGATTTTGAATTGATTTATCCTCTCTTGGGTCTATTGCGTTTGTTATTCGTGTGCCCTTCGCTGCATATTCGGTGTAATCTTTTAAGTTTTTTTGTAATTGGTGACATACTATGCTTGACTACATGAAGTGAATTGGAAGCCATAAATGAGGGGGAAATATTGCTGATCTTTGTGAACTATTTTCGTGGGAATTTAGTCAATTGTTGAGGAGTGTGAACATATATGGGGTTAAAATATTAAAATATTGATTATATTTTTATAGATATACTAGCAGTAACCCGCGGGCTTTGCCCCGTTTAACTTCTTAATTTTCAAGATGATCTCGTTCGCATGGCTCAATCACGTCCTGGTTGAAGTTCGTTCGCTACGCTCACTCACCTTTAGGTTGGAGCTCGTTCGCTGCGCTTACTTGCCTTCAGGTTAGCTCGTTCGCTACGCTAAGTCGCCTACATGTTGAAGTTCGTTCGCTACGCTCACTCACCTTTTGGTTGCAAATTAGCTGTTGTCATAAATGTAAAAGAAATAATAGTGCTGCACCCTGTTGGTAATCCTTGTAACTTTAATGCTATTGAACATCATAGAACAGAACCAACTTGTTTAATTGAAACAGCTGTTAAGATTCATTAATTCCATTTCTCATAAGGTTAACATGGGAAACTCCAGAGCCACTGGGGCGGAGCCGATTGGACGGATCACGAAATTGAGGGTGTATAAACCTATTCCATGAAATTCTACACGTATGTTCCAAGTTTCGTGGCAATCGGTTCAGCGGTGTCTGAGTTTATCACTGCTAAACAAATATCTATTATCTATATATTTAATACGCAGTTGTAACACTGTTTTCTCAATAATTACTGGACCGATCCACAAGATCTATGTGTCAAATTAAAGGGGATAATGCATAGATTTGCCGAACTTCATTAGAATTCACGTTTTCTCTAAGCGTTAAGACCTACAGCTCTTCAAAGGTTGAGTCAATACAATTCTTTTTGAAGAAAATAATACACAGTTTATAAAATTATTCGTCAGCTGTTTAATGTTTGTCAGATATGTGTTATTATTTTTATAACCTCACTTTCAGTAAGTAGTTATTAATCTAGGTGTTCCTGTAAAAAAACACCCGATTTTGTAAAAGGAAAAGTTTATTTGTTAACTTTTTATACCACAATGTGTTATTTATAAATGTATTTGAACATTATTTGTAGCCTATGTTTTGAAATGAATTTTGTATTTTCGAATAATGTGTTAGTTATCCTGCAAAGTGATCTGAAGGAAAGTGGTAATTAATGAGTTTAAGTTTGAGTATGGAATGTAAAATAATACATATAGTAGGGGACTAAAACTTATTGTTTCGATCAATATAATTTATTCTCTACGGCCACCAAACAATCATAGGGAAATCCGCTTGCAAGTTGTACAGATAATTGCTAATGAGTGGGAAACGTAAAAACCCATTTTATCATAGGTGATGAATCTTACTCAAGTTAGACGTTTAGCAGTTCCAAAATTTCCCTTTCAAGATGGCAAGTACTCTGGATAAATGGAACTACAATTTATCAGTGAACTATACCCAAACATTTTTTTCGAGTACACAGGGTAGTTGATTGAGAAACAGTGACTTACAAATTCGGTTGCATGACTGAATTTTTAATTGCAATGTTGACTCGGGTCATTACAGCGTTATAAAACTTTGTCATAATTCCCTGGGTGTGAAAACAACAAAAATAAAAAGAAAAGGTAAAAAGTCACTAACTCTGCGTAAAAAGACAGCCAGAACGAAAAAAAACACGTGGAGAACCATCGAACTAAAGGAGTAAATTGCAGTTAAATGTGCTCTGGAAGTCACTACAAAAAACACCGATTCTTTTGTATTGGGATCGTTTAATTAGATTTGTCACAACTGCAAATCTATGAATTTCGAGTCAGAACAGACTAACAGGGACACAAATATATTCTCCTAATGTTGTCATAATGTGAAGGTAAAATTAGCTCCTTATCAACAAATATTTGAATAGTACATTTATTGCAATGGCGAGTTCTAACTCTCACTTAGATGAATCAACATCATTTTGGTACTTTATATAATTATAAGATTCGGGACTACTTTTACCATCGGATTGGAACGTTAATAACCTCTTAACATTTGGCTAAACTAATAAATGGGTTTGATTAACATAAATAGTTTATACAGGCCAATTATCAGTTCTATTTCGTGTAAAAAAAATAAGCAGCCCCTAAGAAAATACAAAGATAAACAGTATTTGTTAATATTATTATGTCTCTTATTGTTGACAATATTCCCGTGGCGGAGCACGGGCGGTTAACTAGTATTATTAAAGCGATACAATCAAATTTTATGTAAACGGTTAAGACCATTTACCAAATAAAAATATAGGCATATGGCACATCAAAATGAACCTTAGAGTGTTTAGATTTGCCGAAAAGTATTTATATGGACAAACTTCCTAAGGGCTCTGCCCCACAGGCTGATTTCCAAAGGGCTACGCCTGGCATGCTTCCAAAGTTTACATGATTTAATTTAATTCAGTAATGAAACAGCTGGTCAGTACAATGAAGTGGTGTTTGTTTATTTACTCGAAAAATACGTTTGTGACGCTTTATGTAGATTTAGGAGGGTTATGTTTGGTTTATCATCATCATCATCATCATCATCATCATCATCATCATTTATTGATTTCCCTCAAGGGGTACATCAAAAAATACATTTACAAAAATTCAATTACATGCAAAATAACCAAGGTTGCTAAATAAGTTTTACTAATAACTAGGCAAATAAATAATCATATAAATATTAACATGCAATAAATAATTCAATAAATAACCAATAAATATCTTATAAATAAATACTGTATAAACATAGAATACCAGTAGAAGAACAATAAATATTTAAACTGATAGCTGAGCCAACATTCAAAATTAATTATATTCAAAAAACATTAAAAGAAAGAGATCCGCATTGAATCTTTAAACCATACATTTAATGGGGATTTGAGTCAAGAGGGGGGGAGGGCAGCTGTATGTTGCCTGCGGACCTTATTTTCCATTCATTTTCTAATATATCAAAAAATATTTTCAAATGATCCGCAAACTCACGCAATGTTGACATATTATTTTCCATAAACATACTGTCCATTCCAGATTTGCCCATTCCATTGTACCTATATTCAATAAATGCATGCCATCCATTCTCTATTTCCCCACACAGTACGCATATTCTATTTCCTGTCTCATCTTTCCTGCACATCCACAGCCAGGTTCCTAATCTATATCTCGCTATCAGTGACCTCTGATTTGGTTTAAGTAAACAAACATACTCTGCTCCTGACCTTGGCACTCCAATCATCCTTATAACTTAAACTTTTCTTTGTCATCGCCTCAGTCCACAAATAAGAGTAACATGCATTCTTTAAAACATCTTTAATTTGTTTAATATTTTTTAAGCTAAGAGTATCACTTTGCCAGATCTCAATTAAATTAATATTTTCTAACAACTGCTTTATTTCGCCTGACCATGAACTGTTGTTTCTATGATTTTCATTAACTTTTAAACAAGCTCTTTGTAATTTCTTATCTAATGATGTCTTTATTCTTACAAAATATATTATCGCTCTTTCTTTAGCTTTAAATGA